GTCTGAAAGCTACTTCTTTGCATGATCTACACAATTCTGTACAGAAGTAATTTCTTGAAATTATTGCTTCCTTATTCTTTCCTTTGGAAAATTCTCACATGTTTTTTGTATCACAATAAATAAGTAGGAAGCCAAATCTTTTCTTCCTAAAAAAATTAACTTCTTTTCAAAATAAACCCCATCCAATTTTAAAGAAATTCTTCGTAGTTCGGTTGATAACCTATTTATTTCGTAAATATTCTTATTGAATATAGGATGAAGAAAATAAAATTTGTCTAAGTACTACTACTAAGTAGTAGAAATCAGGTGAAAGTTATTTTCTCCATCCTTTATTCGAATTTGCCGTGTCTTTGAGATTTTGGAATTTTTGGAAAATGGTCTATACAAAGAAAATTATTCACGGAATATTGAGTAGAATCTATGATATTGATATTTGTTTATAATTTTCATAAACACCTTCAGCAATAAACAATAGGCTTGTTGAACTAGTCGTTTATCAGTCGACCAAAAATAAAACGTTCAGCTATTATAATCAAGCACTAACCTGCCGCTATAATATGGTAGACACAAGGCACCTTCTGCGTTCCAATTCTGTTTGAAGCGTAACACAATAACGTTCCGTAGTCCAATTCTGTCAAGGGAGTGTACGAGACGATGCTCGAAGTTCCACTCCTCATTACGTAATTTTGGGCCACGTCCACAGAGTCCGCCGAGTTGTTGAAAGTCCACTTGAACTGAATATCTGAAGGATTCGCTTCTACTTGACAAACTATTTGGGCCCGTTCTTGTTTTGCTACTCCGTAAATCCTGGTTTGGTTCGGTTTACATACTGGAGTGTCTGAGAAATAAAATGAAGAAATGATTGAACTGTAAAATCATAGGCACATAGTTGAGGAATACAGACAGATAAGTTGAAAAATAAAAGTCGAAATTATTCTCCTCAACAGGGATCATAATTCAAAATCGAAAAGCAATGCCCGAAGACATCACTATCAACAGTTCGCAATCAATTGCAATATCTAACGATAGTGCCGAGGCTAACGATCAAGTATATCACATTAATGACTTGCGTTCAATTCTCCATCGAGAACTTTTTTATGACGTAATGAAACAAAAATGTGTTGAGCGAAAAAGATGGGCTGACGTAAGCGCGCCACGTAACTGGGTGGTCTGTCTCCTTGAGGGAAATGCAAATCTCCCGCCACGATGTTCTGAGAAGCAGAAGCGTGCACTTTGATTGGCTGGCGAGCTGCGTGACAGTTTGAGAACGCTACGTGACAATTTGGTACACTCTGATTGGTTCACCGCCTAAATAGTTGGGTGACAGGACACCACGTGACAATTTGGTGTACTCTGGTTTCCTGGGTGGTCTGTCTGTCCTGTCTGGCGAGCTGAGAGGCAACCTGGTTGGTGTGACGACGTCACAGTCTGCCTGAATTAGTCTGCCGATTGTTTCGAAACTAATTTGTTTCGAAACTAATTTGTTTCGAAACAATTATTTTTCACTTATTCACTCTAGTTTCAATCACATCATCCATTGATTTTCTGACACCCAAAAATCTGCGAAACTTTTGAAAAAATCGTGAAAAGAACTACTCACCTATAAAATGTATTCATAGATTATCCCGTCTGAATCTACTATGGATGTATAGTTGAGCTGAAAAGTTTTAAAACATTTTTGTGTATCTCCTTCAACAAACCAGATATTGCCTGTCACATAAAATGTGGGACACCCGGTATACAACGATGTTGCTACATAAACGACAACATACTCATATGAGAAAATTGTCAGAGGTATCTTCAGAATTTTTTGACAATCATGGATTCAACTCAGAAATTCGAAGATAATGAGAATAAAAAAGTTCATGAAGTAGTAATTTCGTGCGTAATAGTCCCATTCTTTGAAAAGGACAGACATCTGATTCTCATGGTAGAACCTCATTAAAACTTTCCCTAGTAATTACTGGCTATTTGAAACATAAACGGGTACATGTTTCAGAACCAAAAATCCAGGAAATTGAAAACTTTCTTTATTATATACTTTATCACAATAAACAATTCGAAATAAAAAATTGTTCTGAGTATACTCACCAACTTTGGTTGAGGAGTGAACTCATGAGCAGGAATACCATTTCTCAAAGTGCAATAACCCATGTACGTAGAGGGATTCCCCGGCTGATGTAGAAGGCTACGACTGGGAGAAGTTTCTATAGTCGACACGTGTTGCCTTTTCCACGAATATTCGGAACCGTCTTCTGTATCTACAGGTTGCGGAATGATGTCTGGATTCTTCTCATCACTATCACCTTCGCCACCACTAGAATCGTGTTTTGATATGGGACTGCCACCTTTGAATAAAATGAAAAATAATAGAGAAATGACAATATGAAATGGAATCATAAGATTTCGTCTATGAGATTCACTAAGAAATTGATAAACGAGTACCTTAGATAAGAAGCCCCCAATGATAGAACCGTTGAATAATAATAAAAAGTATATTTACTCTCTAAGTGTCACGATTAGTCCATGAAGATGGATAAAATGTCGTAGTTTGTTATTAACAGGAAAAATTATTTCAGAAAAAACATAAATATTTCATTAGAACTAATCTCTATTGAGTTTTTATCACACAAAGGTGTGAAATGTGTATTTTTCTGAGATGCTGAGGAGTTTGAGAACCTTTTTAGTCTTATATGATGCCGATGAGCTATCGAAACACGTGTCGTGGTCTTAAAATAATGGTTTGATGTTGGGAAAAAATCCAGTAATATTTAGAGTCAAATAATTATAACTCAACCCCACCTGAATTTTTCCAGTTTCAATTTCGCAAATGAGAACAGTCTCATCCACCGAGAAGGAAAAAAAGATTCCATCAAAATACTCACCACCCTTATCACTGAGAGCAACTTCACTTGCTGAACCCCGATGTTCCATATTGGCCCCAGCAATCATATTCTTGTGGCCTTTACGCCTGTTGTGATTATGAGTGCACTGCAGCCGAAGCACCAAAATGACAGTCAGAGCAACAATGAGCAGAGCGGACAAGACTCCAGTTAGAACACTCATCATCGGCGTGAATCTGAATCCACTGCGGTGATTTTCTATGGAAATGAATAAAAAAATCCAGATTGGAAAAAAAATCGCTTGGATAGGAGAATAATGTTTTTGTTGGAGTTGGGCCAAGAATTAATTAGGAAAAACATAATTCGTAGATACCAAAATGACAGTCGTTACATTCTAATATAAAACAATCCATCATAACCATTTTGCCAGAATTAAACGTAAGGAACGAACAACCTGTTCCCGTTATTCTCCTCATCTTGGTGTTTTCTGAAAGCATTTTTCCTGCATAGGTCTATTCAAAAAATAAGGTGAATTTTTATTTTTCTCAAAAAATATTAATTTAGTTATGAATTTGTATTTTGACTCCAGATATTAAACATATATTCCAGCCGTTCTGATATGCACTGTCAGCAATTCAGTTTCTACCTCTTCTATCATCGCATAAAGCCGTTGTTTCAATCACTCAATCGATATTGTCAATTAGTAGGTAAAGCAGTACATTGAAATAAAATTTACATAAACAATGTTTGAAATACACTAACACTAAAATTCACATTAAACATAGTTAATCACAAATTATGAATTTTTATAAAATCACAGATAGTATAAAAACATTCTTACATTGAAAAGTTTCTCAACTGATGTTTGTATGAAGACAATTCATTTATATACTTTTTTCTTCTGGGGAAATGTCAAATATTTTAAAGCCAAAATGATCAGGAGCACATGAATTTATTTATTTTTTGCTGAATTCACAAAAAAATGTTGTTTTATTTTGTTTCATAACCATGAACATTCGAATTGCGAGTGGAAGTTTCCTTATTTTCAAGAACATGGACACACATTTCGAAAATGAAGAGACATGGAAGCTTCAAAACACGAAATGTTTTGAAAATAGCTCTACACGATTCTATGTTAGAAACTCTCGCGATAAATCTCAAAATTCGTTTTGGGCATAATAAACATTCACCATCTGTTTCACTTCTAGAACAGATTGTAAATTAATAAAAAGATATTTTAAAGAATTCAGTTCAGAAGATAATTGTTGGCAATGGAATTTCCACAAGAATGATTCATCCAGAGATACTCCGAAAAACCTTACCTTTGCATGTGTTTTCTGCATTGTCATTTCACCAATTTTGACTTCAAAATCATCAATATTTCTTTGGCGGCAGTGAAATCTTAACATCTGAGTATTTTTGAAAGTTGAAAAAAAGGTTTCTACTATTGAAAAAAGATGAAACTGCATGCATTGTTCCAATACATTTCGTCTGCATACGCAGTAAAAACAGCCATACCAGTTATTGCATCAAGCTGATTCACATACAAAATGAATAGTATTGGACACAAGATCGATCCCTGTGGAATGCCCATTTCGATTTTCCTACTATCCGAGCATACGGTTTCAATTTGGCTATTATGTTGAACTCATCCGCTTATTTTGGTCCCAATATTTTTGAAATTCTAAGAACTGTGTGTGGCCATTTTTAATTACCAACGTTTGGAAAGAGTGACATAACGAATTTGTACATGTAATTTATCTTTGTATTTCCATTCCTTCCTTTTGCCGGAAAACCGCACTTTCATACTACCTATCAGATTTCAACAAGCCTATTTCAATTCTCAAGCCTACTGATATTTCAGAAGTCCCATCTGGAGTGAGAATCAAGTGTAAAATAAGATAACAGGGAAGAAATTTCCCACTNAAAATATGAGTTAATTACTGTAAATGTGTTCAATACAAATATAATATTTATAGTTTTTCATTATTTATCGGGTTTAGAAAAAATAGCGTATGCAACTCTCATGTAATGGTTATTAATACACTCGCATATACCATACAAAACCCGCCTTCGGCTCGTTTCGTATCCCGGTTAATGCTCGTGTCTTAATAACCATCATTACATGATCGTTGCATAATATACTATTTTCACTTTCTATTCCCAGTAGAATCATTAATTCAACATTATGTTGAAAAAAACAGTGGAAAATGCATTGAATGGTTACTTTGGGTTGAAATATTCAATTTTGGCGTTTTTGTTTTTATTTTTATAGTCTACATTTTCACTAGTAAATATTTCTTTGGAAAAATATCCACAAATACTCGTCAAAATTCACAAATTCAAAACAAAGAGCTGCAGGATACTAGTTGGTCATTAAAGGTTCCTAAATTTATTATTTTCAATGCTATCAATGAAAAATTCATCCCCTTTCCTTCAATTTTGTTGAACGAAATACGTGAATATCGAGAGTAAGTGTATGTCCATTATAATGTCATATACTGAGTCTTAGAAATTTCAAACTTACCTCTAATAAAAACGACTGGGAAAGGCCGCCGTTGAAACCCTCTGAACATCTGACTGAAAACGATGTCATTGAAATGTTCGACACAGAGCAATTGTGAACTTGATCCGGTCGGCCTGCAAGAAAACAATATCAATAAGGTATATCTATCGACAACCGTAAAATCAGAGCAGAATTTGAATACAATTCAGCTACTATAGGGTCTTTAATTTGAATAAAACAAAGTGTGTGTGAGCTATCAAAACTTCTCAATCGTGAAATATGATTAGTAATCACCACCTGAAATCAATGACATCATTCAAGATACATCCTGTAGATTCAAAGATATTTATTTTTCAGATAAATGATATATTGGTGTATATTTCATGTATCCAAGATTTTTCTCAGATGCTTCAGTTCCATCATAACTGTATATAGTGTCATCCCCAAAGTATGCACTATATGGAAAACTTCTTCATTAAGGGTTTTTTGACAAAAAGTTATTCTTGATAAAAGTTTGTGCATCCCCTAAAACTAAACATACACTAACGAAATACAGTAAAACACACATAATATACAAGGAGCCTTCAAATATTTGATTTTAAGACAACAGTAAAGTACTCTTATTTGGCAAAATTTCGGGAAATGTTATTTAAAAAGTTGTTCAAATGAAACAAAAATGTGTTGAGCGAAAAAGATGGGCTGACGTAAGCGCGCCACGTAACTGGGTGGTCTGTCTCCTTGAGGGAAATGCAAATCTCCCGCCACGATGTTCTGAGAAGCAGAAGCGTGCACTTTGATTGGCTGGCGAGCTGCGTGACAGTTTGAGAACGCTACGTGACAATTTGGTACACTCTGATTGGTTCACCGCCTAAATAGTTGGGTGACAGGACACCACGTGACAATTTGGTGTACTCTGGTTTCCTGGGTGGTCTGTCTGTCCTGTCTGGCGAGCTGAGAGGCAACCTGGTTGGTGTGACGACGTCACAGTCTGCCTGAATTAGTCTGCCGATTGTTTCGAAACTAATTTGTTTCGAAACTAATTTGTTTCGAAACAATTATTTTTCACTTATTCACTCTAGTTTCAATCACATCATCCATTGATTTTCTGACACCCAAAAATCTGCGAAACTTTTGAAAAAATCGTGAAAAGAACTACTCACCTATAAAATGTATTCATAGATTATCCCGTCTGAATCTACTATGAATGTATAGTTGAGCTGAAAAGTTTTCAGGATAGCAAAGAATTTTTTTTTGATGACATTATTCAGTCAAATTGCCTTCGAGGCTATACCATTTTTATAATATGATTTGTCTTTTACCTCAGAATAGGCCACAGTTTCAACGATTGCCTCTTCAAGGGCGCTATTTTTTTCCAGCGAGCATTCTCTTGAGGTCTGAGAACACGAAAAAGTCGCTGAGGCCAGATCTGAATAATAAGGTGGAAGAGAAAACAATTCGAAACCATATTCATGCAATTTCGCCATCGTTGTCATTGATCGAAAATCATCGACTTCATGTTGATGACACTACCTTGCACTGAGGAGTGGCTAAATAGCCCGAAACCGGTCTGCAAGTGTGTTCTTATAATTGAAAATTTGACTGACTATATCTCGATCAATTCCACTTTGCGGTAAATACCTCTTTGTGGCGTCCACTGCGTTCACCGTCCTTGGTGCTCGTTAGTTACATAGTTAGTTACATATTTTGAGGGTGGGATGGCTGTCCTTGTTCATCTCTCACTGCCTGAACCACTTTGCATGCTGTTTTCGGCTTGGGATGTGGCGATTGAGCAAACCTGATATCGGATGCCTGCTTCCACGCAGCCCCGCTGGATACGGGAGTGACAGAATCCCTTGTGGTTCTGTTATTCCCTAACTGAATGACATCTCAACGATGGCTTGATCCTAAGGTGTGTTTCCTTGCCGAGAGAATAAATAACACTGAGCTTATCAGCCGTCTCTACGGAACCTTCTAGATACCGGGCACCCTCTCGTCGTAGCATCGCCTTGTCACGGTAATGCGGGGCTCTGCCGCGATCATTTTTCTTCTCCTAGCTACTCGTGGGACCTTTATGGACAGAGTAAACTTAAAAATTCTTTCTGACACTGAGTCTATAGACGAGATGAATGTCGAGCTTACGACAACAACTGACTTCCTGTAAATTTAAATCAGGAGCGAGTCTACAGAGGAGATGGATGTCGAGTTCACGACTCCAACTGACCTCCCTCTGAATTTAGATCGGGAGCGAGAGCTTCTCAACTCTCCAACTCCTGATCCAATAACTTAACCTAAAAAAAGGTTGCACCGGGAAGCGACTGAGTCGTCTTCTTGAGAGCGGGGTACTTTATAAAACCGCCTTGCTCCAAATTTTCGAGCGACGTACGCAGAAGCTGTCTCAGGTGGAGAAACAAACCCCCTAGGAGTAGGTTAGCAAACGTTTGCGCTCACCAAAACCAGAGACGAAAAAACCCTGCACGGTTGAATCCAAGGCATCGTCAGGTGTAGCTGACGTGCAAAAGCCCCCATACAGGAATGTTGTCGCGGGTATCAAAGTGGGAATCTTGTAACTTGACTATTGGACTACCTTATTAACAATGAAACAGCAGAGCATATACTTTGTGCCTGCCCCCCTGGGGACTAGAATCAGGTTTCAAGAGTTCGGCACAGGCAGACTCTCACCATCTAAAAGACCCCTCACCATACAAACTAATCGTCTTCGTTAAGAAGCTGGGTTTATTTGATCAAGTGTGAATTTTGAGACCGTATTTTGTGACCGGGGCATCCTCCATGATGAATGGTGAGTATGAGAGAGAAAGAGTGCTCATCTAAGAATGAGATTTCGGTGAATTGACTCTCAATTTACTAGAATAACTGAGGAATATATAATATTGGAATGTAGTTTTCGAAGGTATATGTTTTGCTGGATGAACATTTCTGATAAAATACTGGTGGGTGGAAAAATGAAACACGACGACGTCATGGAGCTCGTTCCACAAATCAATGTCAAAAATTCGAAAGAAATCAGAGTCGAAGTTTCGCCTCAGCCACCATACTCAGCAGACCTCTCGCCAAGTGAATACGATATTTTTAAGCACTTCGATAACTTTCTTACCGGTAGAACCTTCGCCAATCAGCTCCAGGCAAAAACGGTATCTCTGGACTTCATCGAATCAAGAAAACCTAATTTCTGTGATATCGAAATTTGTTTACCGGTGTTTCGTTGTCAAAAGTGTACTTATTGAAATGGCGTATATTTGGATCGAATAGACTATTCATTGAGGTATTACAGTTCAAAATAAACTCTGACAAAACTTTTGAAATAACCTATCACGACCTCTTTGAAAAACTGTACTTCTCCATGTGAAGCAGAAAGTAATCACAAAACATGTTAGTTTTCATATCCAAGTCAAACCATTTTACGTACATTTTGTTACCTTTTCATCCGAATACTTTTCCAAGTAAACGTCTGGATTTCAGGTTTTCTGCAATTATTCTTCGATAGAAATATCTGCTAATTGAACTACCTCGTATGTGTTTCAAGAAGTACGTATTTGAGACTATGTCAGTGTCACAATACCACTCACTTTGAATATTTCTGGACCGGCTATCTTCGAAATGACTATAAGTTTTATATTAAATGACTATATTCTTCAATATCATGGATACTTTGACGCGCTTCATCTCAAAAACTAACTGAAACCGACTGAATTTTTCTATTTTCCACGACCATCCTTTAAGAAAAAATTGCGAAAATCTATGAATATCCTGTATGTCAATGCAATTTCTTCTTATTTGTGACTTCTATCTTGAATAAATAACTACACTGTCTTCTCTAATTCATTGAAAATATTTCACAAAATGATTAAAGACTTACACAGAACATTGAGGAAGAACGGCTTGCTTTCTCCGTCGCCCTCTGTGTTGTATCCTACACAAGTGTAATTACCGGCAGTTGACCTGGATATTCCCTGTAGGACCAAACTCTGGTTGCTAATTATAATTCCAGCCCCGACATTAATGGTAAGCATTTTGCCCTGGAAACACAGAAACACATTCAGGATCCTTGTTCATCATTATACTGGACGAGCTGATAATATGTGTCCTGAAGAAGGAAAACAAGTAGCGATTTATTGTTTTATTCATGTTTCACGAGCAAGTAATGGTACAGTCAACGACGTCCCCAATTATAAATACAATAGAGAATCTAATTAAAAGGCGAAATATTGACGATATTGAGAACTGATAAATTTCTTAACCCCTATTTCAAATTTAACCTTCATAAACCCTAGCGGGGTACAGCTGAACCCCAGACATGAATTTTTGGGTATATTTTCTAATATATTTTTTTTTACCTAATATCCTTCGAGCTATGCTTCTTAAATATATATCTAAATTGGTATACAAAATTTTGAATGAATTGCTTTTTATTGTAACTAATTATAAAGAATTTTGTTGCTTGGGGTCCAGATGCACCCCGCTCGGTATGTAACGACAGGTATAAATTTTGCCTACGTTAAAAACCAACCGAGGTACANTAAGGAACGAACAACCTGTTCCCGTTATTCTCCTCATCTTGGTGTTTTCTGAAAGCATTTTTCCTGCATAGGTCTATTCAAAAAATAAGGTGAATTTTTATTTTTCTCAAAAAATATTAATTTAGTTATGAATTTGTATTTTGACTCCAGATATTAAACATATATTCCAGCCGTTCTGATATGCACTGTCAGCAATTCAGTTTCTACCTCTTCTATCATCGCATAAAGCCGTTGTTTCAATCACTCAATCGATATTGTCAATTAGTAGGTAAAGCAGTACATTGAAATAAAATTTACATAAACAATGTTTGAAATACACTAACACTAAAATTCACATTAAACATAGTTAATCACAAATTATGAATTTTTATAAAATCACAGATAGTATAAAAACATTCTTACATTGAAAAGTTTCTCAACTGATGTTTGTATGAAGACAATTCATTTATATACTTTTTTCTTCTGGGGAAATGTCAAATATTTTAAAGCCAAAATGATCAGGAGCACATGAATTTATTTATTTTTTGCTGAATTCACAAAAAAATGTTGTTTTATTTTGTTTCATAACCATGAACATTCGAATTGCGAGTGGAAGTTTCCTTATTTTCAAGAACATGGACACACATTTCGAAAATGAAGAGACATGGACGCGTCAAAACACAAAATGTTTTGAAAATAGCTCTACACGATTCTCTGTTAGAAACTCTCGCAATACATCTCAAATTTCGTTTGTGCAATGAAAATATTTTTGGCGCCTGGCGCATTGCCCCACAGGCACATGCCATATGTGAAGTTCGATTCGACTTGGGCATATCAAACATTCACCATCTGTTCCACTTTTAGAACAGATCGCTAACCGATAAAGATGAATTTTAAAGAATTTGGTTTTGAAAGTAATTGCCGGCAATGGAATTTCCCAGAAACCTTACCCTGACTACGGTCGGAAGTGCAAGAGAAGGGAAAGCTTGCTCGAATGGTCGAGAAGCAGCCCAAGTGATAGAGATAGATGTTACTGCGGAATGTCTTCAGAGTAACAGTATTATCCATCGAGATTTGAAACCGAAAAACCTGCTTTGATCGAAACGAGTAACAGTCCGGTTCAGATTGAAATAGTTGCTTTCTCACAATCCACCAAAATTACGCAGAAAGACAACATTCAAATTCATATCACAGAAAATACAGTCCACCTATACTGTTACTCAACACTGACGTAGAAAAATTCTTCACTGTTTCCAGTCTCTGTAACCTGAAGGATATTTGCATCCAACTTCAACCGATAGTTTTTGTTCCCACCACTTCTAAAGAAACTTTGCGTGCTCAATGCCAATATTTGACTTGATAAAGATCCATAGTAATTTCACAAACTACACCTAAACGATTTGATCTCCACAAACTTTATTGAAAAAATATATCACAACATGTTTCGCTAGACATTAGCTTTTTCAAGTGATTAATACAGCAAACATGTTGTGATATATTTTTCCAATAAAGTTTGTGGGAATCAAATCGTTTAGGTCTAGTTTGTGGAATTTATTTATTTTATTGCCTCCTTGGAAGTAAACTTCCAAAGCAATTTTGAGAATCATATCGTAGGAACAAATGTCATTGCAGGATTTGTATCATTGTTTGAACAATTCACTCATAACCATTCATTTGTTAGGAATCACACGTTAAAAGGTAAGACCTCGTTAGTCCTTAGCTCGCACAAGTTTCTCAATTTCTGAGAGTTGTCGTTCGTATGAGGGCGGCAGCTGATTAACGGAAAAACAGATTTTAAACAGACAGATGTGAAAATTTCCCAATATCTCACCTTTTGAAGTTATATGGTAGAGTAAGATTATTTTATACATTAAAATATATAAATAGGAATTTCAAATCTCATAAAAATATTGCCAAAAAAAGAAGGAAGAATAAAATAATAATTTGGAGACACGAATAAATGTTTTAAAATGAACAATTTGTATTTCTAGTATTTTCCTTATTTAATAATCACCAACTACCTTGGAAACCTAGAAGGATCCTAAGTGGGTCAACTACATGATATTGACATTTCAGGAGGGTAAAAAACGTTCTGTGAATGTATTACTACAAAAGAATAAAAATAATGGAGTAACAAAAGTAAGTTGATGTTTGGATAGAACTTACCTATGTATATATAAAAAAAAATGTTGAAAAAGAGTTCATTTCAAAATGCAAGGAGAACGTCAATTCTTATAATGAAGAAAAAGCAATTCAACTGAAAGGTCAGTTAGTAATATACAAACTCACATTCATTTCAAGGCTCAAGAGAGGTGGATCATAAAGTTCATACCAAAAAGTTGATTGCTGGACAATTTCTTCTTCATATTCCAGTTGATTGAACCATTGTATTCCTACTGGTGATTTTAGAAATAATTCGGCTGTTTTGACATTTTTTGAAAAAAATCATATAACCAGATAGAATGTCTGCACAAGAATTATTATATCAATTGAATTTGGGTCCATTCCGNGTCAATGTTAGAAATAAATAAAGAGTCAACCACATAAAGCATAGCTTTGTATCGTGGTCAAGAGAAGAAAGAAAAGAAGGAAAAAGGATTAGAAATGTCAACATAACTAACAACGTTTATGTGCCGACAATTATAGAAGGGGCTAAAAAAAATCTCAGATTTGAACACATTTGTGATATGTTTGATGATCATTCGATGAGTCATAGTTACGCTAAATAATAAGATGTAGTTGCAGATAAGAAAAACCATGAAGGAAAAAAGGAAAAAAAGGATGAAGAAGGTCTACGAACTAGAGATGATTCAAAAAATTCAACGTAGCTTCTTGTGAAACATTTTTTGTTTTTATTTTTTTTATGGCAGTAGTTATTTCGAAAGGGCGTATTTCCAGTTTGTGTCTGAAAGTAACTCCTTTGCACGATATACATATACTCATAAAGAGTTGATTTTTGGAATCCATTGCTTCCAGTGTTCCATTTTATATATCTTCTATAACTTCTTCTTCTATACTTGGAGTATCAAATTGATACAAAAAGTGCTTTTCGTATAATTCAATGTATATCACGTATAATTCAATGTTCACCTTCAGTTCCTAGGTCAGTTGAATTTTGTACGGGTGCAGGCCCAAATCACGACGCAAAATTTGCCAAGTCGTGGTCTAAGGAAGGTCCAGTCTTTGTGAACAACGCGAAATCAACAGCCTCGAATTATCCTGCACACTCTCACAGACGGCGGCGATAGTTTCGGCATATCTTGCGTTTCTCCGACGTAAGGGTAGTGGTCAACCTGAAACCACCCTCCGAAACACACCAACCTCGAGTTGGGTGTTCCACAAGATTCCGCTCCTCGGAATCTTGAAAGTTGCAAATAGTTTAGCACCATAAAAAAAGGAATTTTGGGCTCGTAGTCTCTTTGTTCATCTACTAATTTGAATTTCCCGCTGTACGCGCGGTAGCTTCTGATTGGTCGACTGGATGACGGTAAAAGTGAAGGAGTGGGGGTATTCTGAAGTAGCGCTACTCCTACTAGTGGACTCAAATTTATCCACACCATTGCGAATAGTCCTCTCAATAGGACGATTATGGCGAGCGTAAAATGGGCGAAGCGAACGATACGTTGCCCGAACAGAACATCCATTTTGGCATTCGGCAAAACATAGTGAATTAATGACAATTAGTTTGTCAGATTAGCTTCAACAAGATGACCGTTATCAATTGTCAAAGTTCAAGAGTATCTGTTGAAAGACCTTATAGGGTCGGTAAAATCAGTCGGTGAACATTTTTGTCTATTTTTGTTATTGTTGACGGTGGATTGTAGTTTTTGTAGAATTGCAAATACAGTGTCTTTGCCTAATGGAAGATGAGTTGTTTCACTGATCCAAAACTTGTTATGAACTGGAAAAAATAACCTCATTCTAAACAACTACTTTCACGTTTCAAACTCTGAATTACATGAAAATCCTATTTTTCTTTCTAGTTAGGTCATACATGAATGAATATTGATATACAATCTCACCAGTATGGAGATATATCGTTTCAATGGTGTACTTTTGAGAGTTTTTTGTACGAAAACACCTTTTCAGCATCATTTTGAACTTCAGAAGACAAAAACATACATTTCTCGCACAAGACAACAACTTTAGGTTACAAAAAAGTGGGTAGAGAAACAATTCTGCTTCTGTAACGAAAGTAATCCACAAAATTTGTTAAGTGAGAATAAGAAGAGGAGGCAACTATGAAGTTTGTTTTTCAAAAACTCATCTTTTTCTGTGAATTTTCCCATTTTCCATTCAGCTGAGGATTCCAGAGGACCTTCAACAATGCTATGGGTTCACTCACTAAATAATATCATAAAAAAATTAGTACTACAATTTATTGTTTTCATATATGCAATTTTCAATGCTTGAGACGATCACTAAAATTGATTACGAAGTTTTGGGTGAAAACCTTGGAGTCAGAATATGAAAACAGGATAGAAAAAAGTCGATCTGAGGCAAGACAGAAAGTTTCTCACAGGCACCGCTTTCAGACCGACGTGAAGATTTTTCTATAGCGCTTGTTCGACTAGAAAGGAACAAAATACATACGTTATGTCTCCATTCAACTTTGTAGACTGGCGGATGGGCATTTACGATACAGTCGAAATAAACGTCGGTGCCTTCACGTATAACGTCTGGATTCAGAGATGTCCCCAGAACTATTGTTGCTTCCGGTGTATCTGTAACAAAAATGGGTACATCAAATTCTTAATGCGAAACTACCCACCTGATGAAAAAAATGTCACTCGACAATAACTATAAAATTATAAAAAGTGTCAGAAATAACCAAGAAAAAATATCAGGACTAACTCATATTTTTAAACATTCAGAACTTTCTCAACGACATATTGTTAGTCAGGTAAATGCGCAACTTTGCCCAATTCAACTCTCATAATTTCCGAGATTCCAATAGTGAGGATTAGAATTTGAAACACCCTGTATATACCACTATATCAAACAGGTGCGATGAATTTATATTTTTTGGATAACGGTAAAGCATGAAGTCCATAAGAATTTTACCAATTATTACAATTCGAAATAACTTCAAATGAGGAATAGATAAATAATTCATAAGTCGAGTCGTTGAAATAATTTCTTTTCCTAGCTCAACTTCCGTCTTCAAATAATCGTTGATTTTCGGATTTTTATATTACAAAAATTGAATGTCAGGTTTTCAACGTTTTCAGTTCATCAGCAGAAATACAGATTTTACTTCACGACTTAACTGTCAATATACAGGGTGATCATTCCACGAAATTTCATAACAGGAAGTATCCAAACTTTCTAATCCCAACCTGAAAACCTTCTGTTCAGGACTTATCAGTAGGTTTTCATTCATTATTTTCACATGCCAAGCTTGAAAACTGCTCTTTTCACCAAAAACTGTATTGACATTTTTTATACTTTTTTATACTTCTTTCTTTCTTATCATATCAACAGGTACGCATAGGTATTCTTCGCTGCCGAGTTGAACTTCGCTCTTTATTTTCTTAAATATATTTTGAAGGATTATTTTTATTCAAATGCACTGAATGGAGAAATAATATAGACGTTATAATTATTAATATATACTCACAGTGAATTTCTAGTTTCCATCCATCTTCGAGGCTCTCTGAAGATACCATTTTGTTCTCTGACCTACAAGAAAGGTATTTACCATCATCTTCTTTCTTTGGTATGAAAGACAGGGTGCTTGTTGTAGTGTTGCCGTCATTGGAGGTCTGAAAGACATATGCAATTATCGCTACATTTTTTGTAACATTTATGATTTTCGAAACATGTTGAAGAATAAGAGGCCATTTTTTTGGGAATTAAAAAACTGGTGCTCTCTCCTCGTCAAGTTCCATTCTCACAGAGCTCATAGTTCAGAAATAAACTTTACCAGGAGTGCTCCTGAAGATGGAAAAACTGCATCAGCTATATGTCAACCTGTGTGGGCGTTATGTTAGTATATATACATATAATAAAGCTGTATAATAGTTCAACATATGATTAGTATCATCATTGTTCATAAAACTGAACAACTTTGAAATTGTTTGATTCGGAATTTTTCTGTATCGATATTCAAACATTCATCCTATTTTTCTTTGTTTCACCACAATACTGATTTATATTTCTGCCATAATCTACTGTGATGATCCAAACCTGAGTCTAGTTGAGCATATATTCAACAAAAGCCCTCTATATTTATTTTAACAACAGTCATATATTATTTTTTCCAAATTTTAGTTTCGTGGCGTCCTCCGAAATTTTATTCAACTTTGATAAATTGGTATTTGTTAACATACTCCTGTTACAAATCACTAGGCTGTATGTATATAGAGATTGAACAATGTTTGTCTACACACCGAGAAAGAGGAACAGAGAACGAGCTTGAAGAAACTTCCAAAACTCTATAGATCTCATTCCTCTATACTATTAGGAGATCTATGGTGTAATCTGACAGACACTGAGAAAATAATGAAGATAGTAAAGTTATCAGATAATCTAACATTCACCTAGCATATGTCCTACTAGCCTTCAAAGAATCACAAAATGTTGACTCCAAACATACATGTCTCATAGGGATCGTGACCGCAAACATTTGCCGTCACGATCCCTACTAGGTCTCAGAAAATAATTGTGGTGCAGTGTTTGGAACCTTTGGTGTAGTGATGACTATTACAGGAGCTTTTTCCCAACATCAAACCGTTATTTCAACACTCGATACATGTTTAGATCATCTTCAAAAGGAAAATCAAACTTTGATCTTTCTCTGGAAGATCACCTGGTGATCGAAAGCCGTGTCGAGGTGTTAAAATAACGTTTTGGGTTTGAAAAAACCTCCAGTAATGTTCATTTGTGTCAAAAAATATTAACTCATTCATCAATTTCTTTTTGGTCCCTCAAAAGTATTCCCTATTCCCATTCGATCCCACAGTAGAAGAAAGTTTCAGATCTCGAAATCGTACCATTCAGATGAAAGGTACGTTCTCGAGTGTTTTTATAACCTGTGATTAATATTTGTTGTGTCAATTTGCGGTGAAATCAATTTTTTAGTATTAGTATTATTATATTTTAAATGTAAGCAAGTGACTTTTTCCATATGGTTTGTAATTGTCTTGAGGAAATGAATGATTATTATTACTATTATCATTGCCAAGATGGAATATATCATTATTATTTTGAGAGCAGAACATTTCACTCACCATGTCCTTAGTTTTCTCCAACCTTTGACCATTTTTCCACCAAGTTATGGTTGCTGGTGGCCTAGACCCAGAACTTTGGCACAATAGATCGTACTTTCTTCCAGCAGAAAGCGGCTGATTTGCTCCTAAAATTTTCACATCGAGAGGTCCAACTGGAAAAAAAAAGATGACACCGTATTTTCTTTGAGTGAATATCCAATGCAAAGGTAGGTAGGAATACGGTCATAAAATCTAACATATTAAGACACCATCAGTAGTATATTATTCAAAAATGGTTGATATTGGATATTTCGATGAGTGGTAATCACTAGTTTCTGTTGATGAGATTCTTCGATTTGAATAAAAAAACAAATCGAACTTAATAGATCAATATTCCAATACAGGAAATCGTATATACAAAAAATGTTTTTTTTGGATCAGTTCTGTTCGAATTCCAAATACTCCAACTCCTTTCATATAAACAGGTGTAATCAAGAGTAAGCTTTCATTAAATTCATTCAGAAAGGTTAGGCAAAAACAAATGGTGGAACTGTTCCCAAATGAATTGAAAACTCTCTACAAACTTTCTATGAAACGCTGAAGCCAGTTCAAAGGGAAATAATTAGTTTAAAATTTTTGTCTGTAATACCTTTCCATAAAGCAGGGACCTAAAACAAACAAAATATCGAACAACTGTGGGAGAATTTTGCATGCTAATTCAACTCCGGATGGAAACTGAAATATAGTAAAGGAAAGGATGATGTACAGTAAAACACGACTTTTTTGAAACGCAACAAAATTTAAGAAAACTTGGTGGATTTGTTCAAAGTATCACTTTGAAACCTTCCTTTGTGAACAACAGCAATTATATTCAAGCAAACACGTACAAATATGAACATCAATGGAACTTCACGACTTAACTGTCAATATACAGGGTGATCCATTTCAAATTCTCACTATCAGCAACCCCGTTATTATCAGAGATATGCAAATTATTGAATTAAGAAGCTGAGAGCTTTTTTCATAACGATTAAGGAACACGAAGCAAAAAAATAATAGCAAGTTGTTTCAATTTTGATTAAAACAACATTTTCAAAAGTTTAGACAATGGATGTATCAGTTTTTTCTGATATACAATGTCAAAATTATATCATGCAAGTATTCGATAAATTTTTTTGGAAAGCTGTGAAACTTGAGTGATAAACATCAACTTCAATATTCAAACTAATGTGGAAGAAAATGGTGGAAGTCTGCTTGGTTGCTGATCAAATAAAATACTGCTTTCATTATTGGCCGCGGTGGTAGTGCGTCCGACTCATGATCGGAAGGTCGTGTGTTCGATTCCCGCTTCGACCAGATATTTTTCTCGAGAGAATTTATCTGGTTGAAGCTGGAATGATTCTGCAACCGTGTTAGGAATCACACGTAAAAAGGTAAGACCTCATTAGTCCTTAGCTCGCACAAGTTTCTCAACTTCTGAGAGTTGTCGTTCGTATGGGGGCGGCAGCTGATTAACGGAAAGAAAGATTTTAAACAGACAGATGTGAAAATTTCCCAATATCACACCTTTTGAAGTTATAAGGTAGAGTAAGATTATTTTATGCATTGAAACATATAAATAGGAATTTCAAATCTCAGAAAAATATTGTCAAAAAAAGAATAAAATAAGAATGAAATAATAATTTGGAGACACGAATAAATGTTTTAAAGTGAATAATTTGTATTTCTAGTACCAGCTACCCTGGAAACCTAGAAGGATCCTAAGTGGGTCAACTGCATTATATTGACATTTCAGAAGGGTAAAAATTTCTGTGAACGTATTACTAGAAAAGAATAAAAATAATGGAGTAACAAAAGTAAGTTGATGTTTGGATACAACTTACCTATGTATATATAAAAAAAATGTTGAAAAAGAGTTCATTTCAAAATGCAAGGAGAACGTCAATTCTCATAATAAAGAAAAAGCAATTCAACTGAAAGGTCAGTTAGTAATATACCAACTCACATTCATTTCAAGACTCAAGAGAGGTGGATCATAAAGTTTATACCAAAAAGTTGATTGCTGGACAATTTCTTCTTCATATTCCAGTTGATTGAACCATTGTATTCCTACTGGTGATTTTCAAAATAATTCGGCTGTTTTGACATTTTTTGAAAAAAATCATATAACCAGATAGAATGTCTGCACAGGAATTATTATATCGATTGAATTTGGGTCCATTCCGTAAGGTATATCAAAATTATATGAGCACTTTGGATATAAAAAGTTTGAGTGCGAACCTGCCCAAAACCATTTCGCGAGTCCTGCCCTCTTATCGTCACTTCCCAAAATGGCGTCTAGATACTTTTCCACATCAAAGGCGGCATGGCCAAGTGTCCATGCTAATTGTTACCTATGCTGTGATCTAGATCTAGATCTCTTTGTCCCAACCATTTTGACTTTTTTGTTGGACTGAGTATTTGAAAAATGGAACGGTTCAGAAACCGGCTTGAACATTCACTGAGTGAGGAATCGATTTTTAATTTAGACTGATTTCGAATAACTTCCTTGTTCTGGTCTTCGAGAAATTTGTCATTCACGTTTCAAACTTTTCATTACTTGAAAAACAAATCCTATGAAAAAGTAAAACAGTCGCTAATCAATTATTTTTTGCTTCCTACTTCTCAACGAGTGAAAAAACATATTTTTTTTTCAAGGACAAAACACAAGCACTACAGGAAAATCCTTAAGGCGCTAACAGAGCGGTGACTGTGCGAAAGTAGCGATTCACATTGGATATGAATCGCTGGAGTTCGAATTCATTTGAAAAAACATTCTCAGGAAGTTTATTTCACATAAACGCAGTTCTCCAGATGAAAGAGTTCGGAGACATTTATCTCTTTGGGGAAAACCGATGCCTAGGTTTTTGTGGCATTGAATTCAACCTGATTACTTTCACCCCAATTGAAAACTACTGCTAGATCCTCATTAAGATCTACAACCTCTTGCTGCCGGTGGATATGTGCCTCCATAGCCGATGTCCTGGAATCCAAATGGAACGACGAGTATGCTATCGTCAGCAAAGCAATACATTGGATCCTTGGTATTTTCCAATAAGTAGTTGAAAGAACACATTGACAATTTCTCTATACTTCCAATAACTCAATCCGGATTTCGTAAAGGACATAGTTGTACAACTGCTTTGTTGCATATAGTGGACGATATTATAAGAGCACGTGACGAAAAAAATAATACAGTATTGGTACTTTTTGATTTCAGTAGAGCGTTCGATACTATTAACTTCGATTTAATGTTATTAATTCTTGGCTATATAGGACTCTCTAAAAATGCTATATCACTAACTAGATCGTATCTCACCAACCGTCAACAAAAGGTTACCATAAAAGGAAACAGCTCACAATATCTGAAGTTGATATGTGGAGTGCCACAGGGCTCTATTTTGGGACCCCTTTTGTTTGCTATCTACACATCTCAACTTGCGAAATGTTTAAAATTTTGTAATATACATTTGTATGCAGACGATACCCAGTTGTATTATAGCTTCTCACCTGAAATGATAGATAATGCGTGTACTCAAATCAATAGTGACTTAAAATTATTTGTGAAAAATGCTTCTGATAACTGCTTGAATATAAATTGTAGTAAATCCAATGTTATTGTTTTCGGACCAAAAGGCCCTAGAAATGATATTTGCAAATCTGTGGAAATAGTAGTAAATGATCATGTACTTGGGGTTGTCCCAGAAGCCAAAAGCCTAGGCATCATTTTAGATAAGGACTTGACATTCGAAAGCCAGGTTAATCAGTTTATTCGGCGTGCATATTATTCGCTCAAAATTATGGACACCGAAATTTCTTACCCATGAAGGTGAAGGCGAATTTGTGCAAATCATCAGTTTTATCTATATTCAATTATGCTGATGTTTTGTATGGTCCAACCAACCAATTCAAGAAAAATATACAAAAAGTTCAGAATTCCTGCCTACGGTTAATTTTTGGTATAAGAAGAAGAGAAAGAATATCACACAAACTGAAGGATACCGGCTGGTATCCTTCAGTTTGTGCAACAGCTCAACAGCGCAACAGCTCTTGATTCTTCATGTTTCTTGATTGCGTTATTTCAAATATAGGTGACTTAATATAGAAGGTCGGCTGTTGATCTTTGTTTCCGAAAGCCATGTTGATGGTAGCTCAACATATTGAAGACTTCCACAGACAGGTACCTAAATAAACACTCTAAACATCAGCCACAACAGTACAGAAGGGTGATTGAAACGTTGGATGAGAGGGCATGACGCATCTGTGAACACATGAGATATTCCTAAGGAACTCAACCACCTGAAAAATGCCTCTAAAGGTAATGAGTACAGAATGATCCAGGAGAGACAACGTCAAAGTAACGCCAGCTAGGCCCGTTGAGCCTTTCCTTTTCTTTGTAAAAAATATCATGAACTGGATTGAAAGAATGTTAGAGAAACATGACGTGAAACCAATATTTAGGCTTACAAAAACTACCAGAGAAGGTTTGATGTCAGCTGAGGACCTCAAAGAGTGTTTGGTAATACCAGGAGTGTATCGGATTCCTTGCAGCGGGTCTGTCTACATTGAAGCCACGAAAAGAAGTGTATGTACCCGTCTCTCTGCAACTACGAACCTTCAAGATGAGACCATTAGGTTTAGGGTCACCAGGGGCTGCCGTTTAGGTCGAGTACTATCTCCCTTCCTGTGGTTGCACCAGATGGTGCACCAGTCTGCTTGATGCCCTCGATAGAAGAGAAATAGATCTGCGAGCTCATGCTGGCGAGGTCCACGTTGGGAAATGTAGCTTGTAATATCCTCCAAAGTACGATGGACGCTGTTCACAGTTGGTGCCAGAGGCAGCAGGTGTCTGCCAGATCAGAACTGTGATGATCCCCTTCACCAAGAGAAGAAAATTTGACGATTTACCGCTACTTTTCCTCAATGTTCAGGCCATCCCACTTGGAATGGAGGTGAATTATCTTGGCATCGTCCTTGATGAGGAAACTCAGCTAGAACGCACACTTGGAGAGAGTTTTATATCAAACCAGGCTGTCCCTATGGACATGCCGAAGGAATTATCATGAAACTTGTAGTTCAGGTTTCAAACACATCTGGCGGCATTAGTCAGCGGCCATGGAAGTACTCCTAAGAT